CTGCTGAATTTGGCATGAAAAGAGATCAAGACTTCCAGGAAATTCTGTAGCTTTGACTTCTAAATAAAAACCCCCTAAATTGGCAAGTGATGGTTCCGTAATAACATCTAATTGCTTTTGGTATTTTGAAAATAGAATGATTAAATGTGCATGTGTAACACAATCTGCAAATTGGCTACTGCGCTCGAAAGAGGAACTTTTGGGGTTTCCACCATGTGTGTGATTACCAGGCTCCTGTTAACGAAGGAGGAGATGTCACCTCAGTAGCTCTCTGCCCCTTTGCTGCTCGTGCAGCCTGGGCTTGGTGTGGGATTCGTGGCCCGGGTGTTGTCACTGTCACCCCCCTGTGTCACCCATTCCATGCTCTTGCTGCGATGCTCTTGCTGTGGTACCGTTGCGCTTGGAAAATGCCACCCATTAGAACCAGCTGGTTTTTGCCAGGACAAGCTGCTCTTTGTTTATTGTTTTGGTCCTTATTTTCCTATCTGGAAGAAGGCTTTTCCCTATTTTTAGCAGGAGAACAGATATCATTAAAGTTTATTTCCCCTCCTTGACATTGTAGTAATTGTAGGTGACGAATGTGCCTGAGCTGGTAGAGGTCCAAATTCAGCTCTGGCATAAACGGATCCTTTGAAAGCAAAGAAGTTTCTCTCCATCCATCCATCCATCCATCCATCCCTCCATCCATCCATCCACCCCTCCCCATGTTGTAATTCCTAAGTTAGAGATAGCCTGGGGTCAAAACCCGAGGGCTGATCCTGACTCTTTAACTCCACTGAGGTCAATGATGTCTTGGGGTGAATCTGCGCAAGGGCAAGTCGTCATCTTTCCGGTCCAGGGGCTGTTTTGGGGGGGACCTGCCCGTCTCAGGCAGCTTCCCGTGTTCCCCATCCCCACTCCCAGATCTCAAACTGTCCCGGTTGTGTTTGCAGACGTTAAGAAAGAAAGGTTTTAACGGCTGTGACAGCCCGGAGCCCGACGGCGATGACTCGATAGACCAGAGCCCCTTGATGGAGGATAAATACCGTAAAGGCAGCGAGGATCTGGATATCCTGTTCAAGCGCTATGGTGTAAGTACCGTGCCCCGTGGCTGGAAAACCTTCATTAGATGTTCTTCTTTTGTTTTGTTCTCCTTCTGTGCGATTTCCCCCCAACCTCCTCCCTCCCCGACACCCCCCTTCCGTGTCCTGTCCCCTCCCCAAACGTAACAGGCGCTGAACAAGAAGCACAGGGAGTGCGAGAGCCCGGAAGGGGATGAAGTGTTTGCTCTGACCCCGCAGACCGAAGAGAAATATAAAAAGATTGATGAGGAGTTTGATAAAATGATGCAGAGTAACCTCCTCCCTCCCCGACACCCCCCTTCCGTGTCCTGTCCCCTCCCCAAACGTAACAGGCGCTGAACAAGAAGCACAGGGAGTGCGAGAGCCCGGAAGGGGATGAAGTGTTTGCTCTGACCCCGCAGACCGAAGAGAAATATAAAAAGATTGATGAGGAGTTTGATAAAATGATGCAGAGTGCTCAC